AGACCTTTTGCCTCGCTGCCTCACTCTTGCGGTCAACTTATAGCTACACACTAAAATGTATCGAGAGTCCATTTTGACATGACTTTTGATTCAGCTTCTTGTAATTACCTCCTCTAAAAATTATTCTAATCAGTTAAAATAATTAAAAATATATCCAAATACATTCAAAAGTAATTTTTTAATTTCCAAAAAAATTGCCAAAGAAACCTGCATAATAGTGACATATTTATAAAGACTACAAAGTTTTGCTACAAGTACCGAAAAATTTGATACAATTCTTACAAAAAATTACTTCACAATTTTTCGTTGGCTTTTGAAGCAAAACACACAGAACATGCACCATACAGATGTTGTCAACGCAGCACTTGTATAATTTTTTCCAATAGTTCCTCGTACATATGGAATTATTCAAGATTATATAACGGATAAGTACACGAAGAGTTAGAGAATATATTCGTCAAAATTTTCGCCACTAATTATTAGTGTTTATATCTAGAGTGTGTTTGGTAGAGATTAAAATCGGATTAAAATTGAAAAATTAGAAGTTATTGTTGACTTTTATTAATTAAAATTCTAAGGCCCTGTTTGGGAGGAATTAAATTTTTCTACAGTAAATCAATTCTCATTTTCAACCACACATTCTTCAATAAAATAATATTTTCCATCACATCAATAATTTTTTCTTCTTTTTCAACCACAAATTTCCCATCATATCACTATTCAAAAATTAATTATTCTCCCAAAAATCCTTACCAAACACACGCTAATTAACGAGTTAATTCAAGAAAACTCGAACCTCTCAAATTATTGATTTTTGACAAATTTACCTTGACTTAGAATAATGACGTAAATACACTGAAAAAAGATGGAGTTTGAAGTAGATTTTTCATTTTATTCAACCCTCCAAAACACAATGAAGTTCAATCTCAATCTATAGAATAAGCAAGAATAAAGACCAAGTCTACAACAATTTAATATAAAACTCTTCTAAGATAATACAAACCTTATCTTTAAACAAAACAAGGACTTTCGATATGTACGTGCTCGTTTTGCACGCAATACAATTCGAACCTGGAGGCTTGAAATTGTGGGTTGAATGGAGGAGTGATTACTTGATAAAAGAAAAATAATCATTCACTATAAGTCTTCGTATAGAAGAAGATGACTGCTTCGTTGTTTTCTTTTTTTGCTCGAAAATGGGTAAATAAAGAAATAAAAAAAAACTCGAAGCCATTTTAACATGCAATGAACATGGGAGGGTAATCGCTAAGATAAAATATACGTGGATTTCTCGAGTTGTAAACAGTTCAACTGCTCAACGCTCAATTCGTTAGAGTATGATCCGATCGGTCCAACCGAACAATTTGGTATGCGTTGATTTAAAAAATGTTGCCACGGGTCTCTATTGTAGATAGAACCGAAATTGATGAATGCCAGCGGAGGTGGCGATGTTATCGAGTTTCTACTCATCTTATCCACTTTTCATCCCATAGTTTTGGGTCAAGCATTATCTAATCTTGTGATGTGATTTATTGGCCAATACAATTGAAGCAATTTTCAAAACTTCAACAATTTTCACGTGTGGCCAATACAATTGAAGCAATTTTTTCAAAACTTCACCAATTTTCACGTGTCCATTCCCACGTTGTTCTTTTCAATGTACGAAATTGTTCTCCCATCCCACCATGAGCATGATAAGATCGTCTACTTGTTGATGGACATGAGAACATTACTTGCAGTTCTCTTTAAATTTGAGAATCTTAATGTAAGATTATCCTCAAATAGGCAATATAGACTTTCCACTGTTGGCCAAAGAACATTTATGTTTCAATGTAATATTGAGGTGAATAAACAAGCTAATTTCTTTTTTGTACACAATAGTGTTTTTATGAATAAAATCATTTAATATTGCATATATTAGAAGGTGAATCTAGATGTAGGGTTGGACAATGAAATCGTCACATCACAAAATCGAATCGAAACCGCTTCTTTGAAATCAATTGTTTAGTTGCATGTGGATTCGTCGATGGTTTGGTTTTGAATCGAACCAAAATCGCTTTGAAGTGATTGGTTTATGCATCAATCTTTGCATACCGTTTCAAACTGTCAAACTATTTTAAAAAAATTAAAATAAATTTTATTTAACCCAATTAAAACTAAACGCATTTCAATTAAAAAAATACATCTATTTTTGGCATAATACAATTAAACTCAATTAGACAATTATACATCTCAATTAATTAATTAAATCATCACAACTGTAAATGTAAAACCGCAAATTGGATAAAGTGTTGAACTCCTGTTAAATCATATTCATCAACCCGCCATTATAATTGAGTAGACAATCAAATCTAGATTTTAAATCAAAGTTACACATTTCATTTCCTTCTATTGATAGTTTTCTCGAATTTTGCCTAAAATTTCAAGTCAGGTTATCCAATTTTTTTTTTTTTTTTTGGTAATTGTTTGCTATGTTTTGATTAGTAGTTATGTTATTTTGTTCTAATTATTGTCGGGCTCCCTTGAAGTAATTCGTCAATATTTGAATGAAATAAAAGTATTTGATGATTCACAAAAAGTTATAGTAGTTTATTATTATCGTATTTGATCTTTTTATTCATTTTCTTTTATTAGTTATTTATATCGTTTAACTATAATCAATGAGTTCATATACTATATTTTTATATTTATGGAGATAATGAATCATATATTAATATTGTAGATGCGCGCTAATTAGTATCGGCTTAGACTTTAAAATATTTATATCATGTTGTTGCATTATAATGATTATAATTATATAACTTTGATTTGTAATTTTTTTTAATGATACAATTATGTATTAACGTAAAATTTTAGTCTAATATTTATGATTTAAGTTATTCGATATATATTAATTTTTTTAATTTTTAAAATCGTGGTTTAAACCAAACCAAACCAAACTGAAAAAGATGGTTTAGATTTGTTTGGTTTAGAAATCGAAATGGTTTGACTTGGTTTGAAAAAATTCCAAAAAGTTGTTTGGTTTGAAAATTTATTTTAAACTGTCCAAATCGAACCGTGTTCACCCAATCTAGATGTCACTATGTGATGGACTCAATGTAAAGTAGAATCATGCGACTCATTTAGCTCATGTTTGATAATCATTATTTCAAAACATTTTTTAATATTAATTTTCAATCGCATATTCACACAATAAAATATTTTACACGTAAACCTTTAGACAATTTTGTAGACCTTTTGCCTCGCTACCTCACTCTTGCGGTCAACTTATAGCTACACACTAAAATGTATCGAGAGTCCATTTTGACATGACTTTTGATTCAGCTTCTTGTAATTACCTCCTCTAAAAATTATTCTAATCAGTTAAAATAATTAAAAATATATCCAAAAACATTCAAAAGTAATTTTTTAATTTCCAAAAAAATTGCCAAAGAAACCTGCATAATAGTGACATATTTATAAAGACTACAAAGTTTTGCTACAAGTACCGAAAACTTTGATAGAATTCTTACAAAAAATTACTTCACAAATTTTCGTTGGTTTTTGAAGCAAAACACACAGAACATGCACCATACAGATGTTGTCAACGCAGCACTTGTATAATTTTTTCCAATAGTTCCTCGTACATATGGAATTATTCAAGATTATATAACGGATAAGTACACAAAGAGTTAGAGAATATATTCGTCAAAATTTTCGCCACTAATTATTAGTGTTTATATCTAACATATTAAGGTTAAAATAAAAATTGAAATTGAAATTTATATTTCCGTTAAGCCATTGAGCTAAACCCAGACCCATCACACTTCATATAATATAGCAAAATCTCTCGCCGGATCCAACTTATTTGCTTTTCAACTCTTGGTTCATTATCCTCCTATAAATTTCAATTCCTTGCATTTCTCTCTCCAAACAAATTACGTAAGAAATACTGCTTCAATTTATCTGTCTACATTCTCTATTGATTGATCGAGATTCGGTACGCTCCTTCTCCCATTTCTGCAGAATATACGCATATTGGTGTGCATGTCTTGTTTGCTATCTCGCGTTTTGGCCTTCGATTTTATGGAACATTGTTTCTTTTACCCAGTTTCAGGCAAATTTCATCTCTATCCTTTTTGTCTGCTGCTTTTGTTTGGGGGTTGGGGTGGAGTTGGGTGGGTCGGGGATGGGGTTTTCCTCAATATCACCGTTTTTTGGTCTCAAAATTGGGAGTCAATGGTTTTTGATTTCTTGTTTTTGACCCTCCACAAAAGTGTGGCTGATGTGCTGAAAAACCTTTGCCATTGAACTGTGTAATTTTTTTTTCGTTTCTTATAGTATATTAATGTTCAGCATTTATTGAAGCTCATCAGCTGTGCCTCTCTTTCAACCATATCAAAAAAAGGAATTAGCGTTTGTAACTTGGGGTAAAATCATTTTTATAAAATAATTTCAAAATAAAAAAGAGAGAAAAATTAATCAAGTTCAATTATTTGGAGGTAATTTGTCATGGGTTGAAATTTGTTTTCTTCATTTAATGAGGCCAAATCACTCTGAGATCTCAACTTGTCTTTTTCCCATTTTCTTTGTTTTGTTGATTATGCTGGTGCAATATGCTCTTCTTAGGTTATTTTATTATTGTTTGGTACTCTCTACAAAGTAGCTATTGGAATTATCCCCCTGAATAAGACATGGTTATTGGAACTAGCTATACACAAAATTCTACCTAGTGTACTGTGTAATAATCAAGAAATGTACCTGGCTGTAAATTTCACCACTCCTGATTCTTTAAACAAACTTTTGATTCTGAAACTGGGTCTGCTTATTTTAGCTGGTGTTATTTTAAAAGTTGATGGAAGAAAAAAAGCACCCTCCGAAAGTTATATATACTATAAACAGTAGAGCAAGATAATCAAATAGATTTCATCATCTGATAACAAATTGCAACTAATGATACGCTGTTAAAGATTTTAGACCTAATATTTAAGTTCTTTCCTGTCTTCTTACTCAGTTAAATCATGGCTTTTCAACTAAACTTTAGTGCTCCTACCATGCAATTTGGAGCTGAGGGGGATGCTAGCTTCAAACGAAAATGGAACTCAGTATCATCGGCTTCTGAAAATGTAAATGGATGCTTCGATTGCAGCATTTGTTTAGACTCAGCTCATGACCCCGTGGTCACCCTTTGTGGCCATTTATACTGCTGGCCCTGTATTTACAAATGGCTCCAGATCCAGAGCTCCTCATTTGAGTCAGATGCGCAACATAAATGTCCAGTTTGCAAGGCTTATATCTCGACCTCCTCATTGGTTCCCCTCTATGGACGAGGTACATCGTTGTCTGAATCCAAAGCCAAGAAACCCCAATTGGATTTGACCATACCCCACCGGCCACCTGCAGCTGGATTGGATACTCTGCTCGCTGCAAATCAGCAACGTAATCATCCCAATCTTTTTCAGCCACAGCAGCCGTCATCATTTCACGACCAGCAATATTTCCCGCACCCTCTTGGTAATTATGTTTCAACGATGCCGTCTAGCATTGGGGGCACTGCAACGACCAGTCATTTCAGTCCAACAGTTAATATGATTGGTGAACTTGTATTTGCTAGGATTTTTGGGAGCTCAGACACGAGTCTATTTGCTTATCCTTATCCGAATTCGTACCTTATTCCAGGAAATAGTAGTCCAAGGTTGAGAAGACAAGAAATGAAGCTGCACAAGTCTCTTAACAGAGTATCCATCTTTCTTTTCTGCTGTTTTGTTTTGTGCCTTCTCCTGTTCTAAAGTGTTCCATTCCCTTTCAGCTGGATAGATTGTCGGACTGTGCTTAAAAGCAGTCGAGATAGATTAGAAACATGTTGTTTTCTTTTTGGAGAGAGATTTAGCCGAAAGGAGAGAAGAAAGTTAATTCCTCTAAGGCGAGCATTTCCTCCTGTTCATAATATTGATAACTTCTCATCTGTGTATCTTCAACCAGAATTAATGGACTGGTTTCATTATCTTGTTGCATTGGCACGTATTTGTTATCGAGTCTAAACTCTTATAACTCCATAAAATGATGCTTAGCTATTGTGCATTCTCTTTGATGCTTTTCTTTTTTGCCTGTACCTTGTATTTTGGGCAAGCTTATGTAATTTTCTACTGGCCTTAGTCTAAAAAGTCAACTGTCTTTACTTTATTTTCTCTTTAGGGGAACGAGATCCTCGTCCTCTTTTATTATGCCTCCATATGTGGTGTAAGAATAATGCATATTGTAGAGATTTTCGCATGATTAATCCTGTTGACTTGGGTCGGCTGGGACTTTTCGCCCAACTCCTAACGAACAGGAGCTGGTGAACCGAAATGAAGGCCTAAAGTTCATTTTTCACGACTTTAGATGTGTTTGTGATTGTGTAGAATTTTATATGAACTCGATAATGTTTGTTGTGTGCTGGATTGCTATGCATCTAGAATTTGACAGTATTCGACTTGTGTTGGATTGGACAACATTAGACATTATGCATGATTGTACAACATCGGATGGAATTAAGATAGTAAAAGACCAAACATGGTAATAGTAAATATTGAAAAATATCAACGCACGCATGCACATTCAATAATGCAAGGCATATATTTACAATTTATGTTGTGTTTTGAACTTTCCAGTTGTACATGTACATTGCAGATCTTCGAAAAATATCTTAAAAGCAATTTCACATATTAAACTTTTCAGTGTCATCTTAAAACTTTTCGTAGAATTGATGAGCACCTGTCCCATATATTTCCATACACTTCAGGACTTTACCATTCTCTAGAATGTACCTTACAATCTCAAACTCATCTCTCATACCTTCAAATCCCAGAATTTTGACTGTTGTAAGGCTTGATAATAGACTTGTAGGCACCTGGTGAGGCTCAATCCAGCAAGCTTGATGGGTGGTCAGTTTACGTGAGGTCTGATGATGACGAGGTTAGAACTTCAAAGTAAAGAAGTAGGTAGAAAATAATATGAACAAATGAAAAACACAAATGAGTTTCATTGGCATAAGAAAAACCTTTTGAAAAACCAGAACTTCAAGATTATCTGCTCTGTCAAAGAGGGTTCTCAGCAGATGCCATTGGCAGCTTGCAAGTTCAGTTTGATTAAATTACGAAACACTGGGACCGCAAATATGGTTTCTGACATAAGCGGCTGCAAGTAACACTAGCATTAGGCGGGGCAGTTCATCACTAACATAACATCTAGAAAGAGTATCAATAAAATGGAGGAAAAAAAGGATAGAAACAAAACCTGAGTTCTGATTATTAATTAGAATGTGAATGGATTGGCAGCATACCGTGGTGATATTGATTGACAGAGATAGGAACTTCACTTGGCTGAGCTTTTCAATGAATTTGACAACAGAATCAAGATACTGATTGTCATTTCCCAATTCATTGTCATAAAGATGAACATCTGCTTCAACCAGGGAGGTTAATTCTCCTAAGGAGAAATCCATGGATACCTTATCATCTACATGGAGGTATTCGAGTGCAGGGGCATACACCTTCAGTTTGTAGTAATACTTTTATGACTTACTACTAGCATTTGCCACGTGGCCGACTAGGTGAAGTTGTTGGCCCACTCCTGCTGAACCACCAGCCATAGAAGACAAGGCCCACATGGTAATTTTCGAGGCCTGTTATTAATTCGAGGCGGACATGCCGAAGAGGCTCAGGCCGAGGCTCTACAGGTCCGAGGCTCCTCCCCAACTAGCGACAGCCTACGTGCAGAGATCATGAATTTATTATAGAAATCTTATTTGAATGATTGATGTGACTTATGTAAAAAGTGTATTTGTATCTTATTTTGTTAATAGGATATAAGAGCATTAAATGCTTTGTAGATCTAGAAAAGTCAACATGATGGCTAGGATTTGATGTTTCGGTTGAGGAGATGTGGTCACGTGTAATTTCATCTAAGGGATACTATTCTGTTTGTAACACTATAAATACCTTAACCATGTAACAATCGAGGACTAATGCAACTTTAGATACTTGGAGCAACTTGTTTAATTCTCTCCCATTCATTTACAATCTTTAATCTAAGTTTATAGTGATTGGTTATTATTATACAATCGTATCCCGGATATCTTGCCGGAACCCGAACGGAAACGTCTCGTGTCGTTGAACTTCCCCCATGTCCAAGTTTGGAGTGATCTCGACCGTTGATCTGCCTTAACGTGTTGGATCTAGCTTGTTCATGCACGAGTGAGTCTGGTATCTGTTGAGAGCACATTTTGAGGTCAACAAATACAAATAAGGTTTAAAACCGTAAGTGTTAGCCCCAAAAATCAGGTTGAGGCTTTTCAGTACAGGTGAAGACACATTACAGAAGACCATATTATCATGAACAGATCTCCTTATAAACAATTCAAGGAGGACAAGGCAAGCAGAAATCAATCTGTAAATGACTCATCATTATCATAACTAACAGAGATGAGTTGAAGTTTCTCAAGACTTGGAAAACACACGTTACCAGGAACTAGAGACGGATCCAGGACCGGATTACAGGTTGTTGATTCTGTCCATTATTGGAAATTCTTGGTTTCTGCTAGTTTCTGGAGCTTTATACATGATTTATGGCTTGAAACTATGTTATCAGGAGAAAGGGTTCTGCATAGGATTTGGACAACTCTTTATAATTGATAATGCAAGGATTTCGAGGAATTTAACCTAGTCCTCTTCTCTGTTGTGCCGGCATGGCAAGGATTGTCTTTTTGCATTTGGCTATTAATTTGGATGAAAATTGCATTGGCGTGAGAGGAAAGCCTTACTTCAAAAATTGACTGCAGATGGTGGTGAATAAATCTGAATGCAGACTTAAATAAATCAAATGTATTCAATTTCCTAACCATATTGACTGCTTAATGCTTCCTATATCAGTCGTGAATTTTTTTATTAGCTTTATTTCTGCTATAATGATATATGTACGTGGATTTGGTTGATTTTCCAGTTTCTACTCACCATGCAATATTCGTGAATATGCAAGTCCCACAGGAATTTGACATGGTCTAAGTGCATTTCCCGCATACTCTGCTGGAATTATGATTTACTCTTCTTAACCAACAATGTTTCGTTTTTCTCATGTGTCATTAGCTGGAAAATGCACTTAGACTATGATGAATTTCGACTGCACTAGTTTTGCTGAAAAAAATGTAATGGCTTCAGCAAAACTTGTGCAGTCGAAATTCATCATTCTCGTATGTTTTTATGTTTTCTCTTCTCATAATGTCTTGATGGACTAAAAATGCCAAGAAGCCAAATCACGTACCCTCCTCCCATGTCAGAATTATTCAATACCACAACTAGTTCTGGTGGCTATGTTGAAAGTATTCAGGGAGACTCTGGTAAAGGACTTGGTTTTTATGGCGACTGGCCTGGAAGTTGTTGCTGTGAAGATTGTGGTCTTGGTTTAGGGCCAGGAATATTAAAGGCCGTGTAACTATTCCCTGTTTTTTTACTGCTAAATGCTTAGGTCATGGTTTTGTACTTCTTAACCATCGCGAACAACACCTGCCTTATAACTTTACACTTGTTCTATCAAATTCCTGATGTTAGTTGCTACATTTCAGCTAGGTCAAAGCTCAGATTTGAACAAGAGATGCCATGCAAATCAAAATTATCTCAAAGGATACATTGGTCAACGTTAGGATTGACAACTTCAACTAGTAATCAACAGCAAGCACACATATGGAATGCTTGTGAATTGACCAACAAACAATGAAACCCAAATCTGTCCACTTTTTCATTTACTCAGCAAGAGTCATTACGATGCTCATTTATCTTTCCATTGGCCCCCTCCCTATCGAAAGATGGGAATCTGAGAATTAAAATTGCATTTCCCAATTTCATAGCATGTAAGTTACTTCTGAATAATTTGATTATGACATCAGTACAGATAGTTCTTGCCAATTAAGTTTAAAAAGTTTTATCTTGCTCCATCCATGAAAATTCTGTTTTAGCATGACCTCTGTAGTTGTTTTTATCGTGTTCTTGCCTCACAAGCTACAGAAGATGAAATTCTACCATGTTTCTATGCTGTTAATTTCTGTTGAAATTCCACTGTTCATGCGAGTTGATAGTAAAGATTCAGGGCAATAAAAAACGCACTCTTAAAATAACGTCTCTGGCTTTTCCAGTATCCGAAGGGCTATTTTGGACCGAGGAACAAAAGCTATTCTGAAATATTTGAAGGACAAAATTGTAGAGCAATTATGGTTTTACCTTCTCTCCATGAAGGTTCATTAGCAGGCTTTATGTGCATTATTTCTGGGTTGATTAATGTGCGAGAACAGAAATTGTTTGCTTTGATTTATTTCAATTTATAAAGTGGTGGCGGCGTGCTTGAGTTGATATAATACTTACAGATATACTGACGCGGAGGAGAAAATAAGAGAGAAATGGGAGGAAGATTGTATTTTATTCAATAATCAAGTCTCTTATTGTACAATCAACGGACCTCTTTATATAGGCTAAAATCATGACTACTAAGAAAAATTATGATCTTCCTTTTACGAACTCAATTTACCAAGAATGAGTAAAATGCAATAATGGAAAAATTCTATCGTAATTGATGTTAATTTCGTTTACGCCTCGAATGTACTTTCCAATTTACATCATATACAATCTATGTTATTACAAGTAGTTTTTACTTAGTTGGCAGTGCTTTTACTTCGCGTGGAATGAATCAAATTTTGGGGAAAGAAATCATGTAAATTATCGTCAATGTTACTGCATGATCTCGCTTTCTTCCATGATTAAACGAGTTGGTCCAATATCTTCCCTTTAGGATTTTGACATGCCCTGTACCCCAAATCACTTAATCTTTGGAGCCATAAACAACCCACTTCTTCTTTCATATAGTTCAATATGGTCTATAATAAGATACCATGGCTGTTTACCAGCCCTGAAATCTTTGGGAAAATGACTACATTATCAATACCGCTAAATGTACAGAAATGTTTGATAATTTTTTTGACAGATTGTCAGCGGCAAGATTTTATTGGATGTTGGACAAAAAACACAGCTAGACCAGCCAATGTAGTGTTGCTACATGTACATCTGTAATGCTTTCTGTACATTTCATCTGTACAAGGAGCTTAATTCCTACATCATCAGCAATTTTTACAATGGAAATATGGTCATCCAGGGAAAGTTCTTAACATTCTTACATTATAATTTCAGGATGAGTCGTGTCTTGTCAATCTGTAATACTAAACCCCTCCCACAGGATTCATCCTGTGTCAATTGTTTGATTGTCTTTGGGGATATTGATGATAAGATTGATGACCATGCTGTTAAAACTCCATCGAATCTTGCTATAGGCCACCCCCCTCTCGCAATGAGGGGGGCTCGTCATTAATTTAATCACCTCGGGTCCCCCCTCATTGTGAGAGGGGCTGTGGGCCCGTGTACCCGGGCATGTAAATGCCCGNGGGGCTGTGGGCCCGTGTACCCGGGCATGTAACCAATAGCATAATTCAACTCCATCAGGCCTTGGTGCTTCAAGATAATTTGTTTGCCTGATTGTCTGTTGCATTTTCAATACCTGCTTCCGAAAATAGTCAGACCTTGGTGGCAGAGGAAGAGATCGACAAGTAATTAGTAACTCTTATCATCAAGAATTTTTTTTGTATATTATTTTGCCCACAGAAAAATGGACAGCACATTGGTTGTGACTGATGATGAGTCATATCCAAGTCAATTTGTCAGGTTTTTCCAGTTTTGGATAACAAACATTCTAACCCTATCCAAGAACTTCGACAAGCGTAGTTTACATGTTTGTTGCAACTATACAATATTATAAATAAGTTATTCATATTTTTTTTTTCTTTAATACACCCCAAAAAAAAAAAAAGAATTGACAGAGGATTTTACTTTTAGCTTATCTAAATATTTTTATGCTTTTTAATCCTAATTAATTTAATTTAATCATTTTTTAAACTAAATGGACTATCTTTTTATTTTGTAAATTTACAAATTTCAAAATTTAATTAAAAAAAATCATTTTAATGTAACTATAATGTATATATTGTTTTTGGAATACATTTAACAATATTACACAATGTTATAAACATCAAAATAAAATTTAAATTACTATGAATCATAATAATAATAATAAATATCATTGGAGTCAATTACATTGGAATGCGAGAAACCTTATCCAATGTCACAAATCATCGTCTTGATCCAAAGCTCTGAATCGCTAAAGACAAAACTGCCGCCGCTCCCTCACCGCTTAAAATCAATATAAATTCTCTCTCACTCTCTCAGGAAGAAACCATTTTCAGTTAACTCAAAATATCCATTCTTTCTTTGAGAGATCAGGAAAATTTGTTTTAAGCTTATTCGTTTAGAAGAAAAGAAGAAGAAATGTTGGCCATATTTCACAAGGCGTTTGCTCATCCACCTGAAGAGCTAAATAGCCCTGCATCTCTCAAAAGTTCAAAGAAGCCTAAATCACCCGAAGAAACTCTTCAAGAATTCCTTTCTTCTCACCCTACTAACACTTTCTCTCTGAGTTTTGGGGATGCTGCTGTTCTTGCTTATGTCCGAGCTGATCGCCATTCTCTTTGTCATCAGAACGAGAGGTATATATATACATAAAACCATTCGTACGTGTTTATGCTATGGAAATCTTTTCACCTTTTTATGGGTTATTTTTTTGCAGGTTGTTTTGTGGGTATGATGATATATACTGTGTTTTCATGGGGAGTTTGAATAATTTATGTGCACAGATTAAACAGTATGGATTAGCAAGAAATGCAAATGAGGCCATGCTCGTGATTGAAGCTTATAGAACACTTAGGGACCGTGGTCCTTACCCGGCTGACCAAGTTATTAAGGATCTTGATGGAAGCTTTGCCTTTGTTGTCTATGACAGCAAAGTTGGAACTGTTTTTACTGCACTGGTATTCAGCCCGTCTTGTATATTTTGATGAGATTTTGAATTTTTTTTTCTTTTTTTGGTGTATAATTTGAATTATGATTTCAGGGTTCTGATGGAGGAGTTAAGTTGTACTGGGGCATTGCTGCAGATGGTTCTGTGGTGATTTCTGATGATTTAGAGGTGATCAAAGCGAGCTGTGCCAAATCATTTGCACCATTTCCAGCAGGTAATGATATAGAATTTTTACACAAGATTTGCATAAATTAATGAATAATTCAAGATATAATATGATTGATTTTGTGGTTGCAGGGTGCATATTCCACAGTGAGGGAGGATTAATGAGTTTTGAGCATCCAATGAATAAGCTAAGGGCAATGCCAAGGGTGGATAGTGAAGGGGTGATGTGTGGGTCTAATTTCAAAGTTGATCATTATGCTAGAGTTGATAGCATCCCCAGGGTTGGAAGTGAAGCCAATTGGGCAGAATGGAATCCTCATGAACCCTAATCCATCAAATTTCATGTTTTCCTTTCTTTTTGTTATTTTGGAGTCTCTTGATCTTTCTTTGTTTTCTTCTTTAAGCTTATGCCTGTTTCTGGCCAAGACAAATAATAATCTGAAACTTGATTTTGGTTCAAGCTTACAGTCCCTATAATTCTTATTCTTTGTTCATGTTAATTCAAACTTGATTTGTGTTCATTAATGTTACCTGCAATATTGTCCCCCAAAAAAGGGGTTTAAGTGATATTATTATTGATTCTAACATTTAAACTAGGATATGTTGTCTCTGTGTTATAAAATTCAATATAATTTCATTATAACATAAAAAAAAAAAAAAAAATACAGAGACATGATAATAAAAATAAAATAAAATATTAACACACTTTATCTTATTAATTAATTGTCTAAACTTTATTTTCTACAACATCATCAAATCAATTTCTTCATTATAAAAAAAATAACATTTTCCAACTCTGGCTCATCGATAGATTAGCAACCTTAGGCAGTTCAATATCTTCAAGAGGATCAAATGAATTTTTGATAATGTCCCACATTTTGGATTCTCAAAAAGATCTAGTTTTCTTGATAAAAGACATAAATTACTATGAATGAAAATCAATTATTCTTCTCGTGTGAATGTGAAGTTATTCTATTCCTTATCGTACTGTGCACAAAAAAGTACGTACTTCAATTTCTTTCAGCACAAGATAAAGAAAAATATTGTACAAGAAGTTTCAAAGCAATGTTTTGTAACAAAGGTGTACGTGAACCACGAAGTAGCCACTAGATCTATATACCGATTAGTGATAGAATCAAATAATACGATTTTACATGTATTGAAAGATTAAATAATATTGTGCATTTCTAATAAAAATTCTAGTTAATTTTAAAATTCTTAATTTTGTATTTTCAATAAATATTATTGCCATTCCATAAGTTATTAAAATAATTTAAAAAATACATATTGGATACGTATCGAAAATCATACAAAAATATAAAATAATTAAAAAATATGTATCGGATACGTATCAATTTTTTTTAAAAATAATATATATATAATAATTAAAAAAAAGTATCCTGTCCATATCGTAGGGTATCGGAGCTTAAATATTGTATAGAATATGAGTACGTTACGAGTTTATCAGTATCGGTGCTTCTCTACATCTATTCGTCCTCATGGACCTTGATCTTCGTCTTTTGCTGCAAAGATTAGTTGACAAAGTGACTGAGGACTACCCTTCAAGGTAAACCAACTAGTTTCTCACTGACTTCCCATACTTAGCTTTCTCGGTATTACTGACTTCTTGAGATAATTGGTTCTTGAATGAAGCGGAATCCTTGTTCCAACTACAGTATACTCCTGATTTTGTCAAACTTGGATCACTTCCAACCTGCATGAGAAGAAATAAGGCCATGTTTGATAGGGCAAGTTTTTCATGGAAGATGGAAATTTTTTTGCCATTTTCCACTTTTTTAGTGTTTGATAGAAAACATATTTCAGGTAATTGGTTTTCCACATTTTCTTTGTTTGCCACATTTTCTTGCCTTTTGAGGTAAATCAATTCCCACTACTTTGGTGGGAATTGGTTTTCTAGACGGTATTTTTTTATTTTTTGCAATAGAAATAAATTATATNTAAAGCCAAACGAATACCAAAAGATTCAAAATTTCGATATTTTTCAGGTGAAAAATTATACAAATCAAATACAATTAAGAGCCTGTTTGATAGCACCTAATTTTCTAAGGAAGTTGGAATTCGTTTTCCATTTTCCACGTTTTAGGCTGTTTGATAGGTTAAATTTTCTATGAAATTCATTTTCCACCAAATTCTTGGTTTTCAAGGAAAACCAATTTCCACCATATTGGTGAGAATAGGTTTTCCAGGCTACTATTTCTAATTTTTTTTTTTTGGCATTTAAAACAAATTTTATGGATAATTGTAAAAAAAAAATTTCCCTTTAATGGACAATTTCCATGGAAAACAAAATCAAATGAATATCAAAAGATTCAAAATTTCAACATTTTTTAAGTGAAAAATTATACCAATCAAATAAAATTAATCACAATTCCCAGTAAAACAAATTCTAAGCAATTCAATTTCCTGTAATTTATTTTCTTTCTTTCCGCCCAAATTCCACATTTGCAATCAAATGAACCCTAATTGACAATTCTCATTAAAGCAAGTTCTAGGCAATTCAATTCCATAGAATTCATTTTATTTTCGCCCAAATTCAATTTTTGCAATCACACGGACCCTAGATATACGAGTTTTTGCTTCACACAAATTACGCGGTTTTTGTGTACATATAATACTGTAATATTGTGTTATGAGGAAAGCTAACATATCAATATTGAATCTTGATCGTTTATAATTTCATGGCAATATGAGAACAAATTAGTAACCATATGATCAACGACCTAAGAATCTGGCAAATTGAACCTCCTCTAATCTGAGACCAAGTTGTGTCAAATTCGAGGAGTGAGAGCACAGAATCAGTTGTTAAACAGGAGCTACTTTGACATAGTATTCACCCTCATCATGTTATCATACCTTGGGCTCGAGTTTTCAATGAAGAAAAAATGCGACATATTACTCACCCTCATCATCTTATCATATCTTGCGCTCGAGTTTTCAATGAAGAAACAAAATAATCGATTCGTAGAGAGAACCAAATCCACATCAAGGAAGTCTTTTACATGGGCATGTGAAAATCAAAATTATGAAACAGGTGTAAGAATCCATGCTTTCTTCAACTGAACTAGACTCCTATAACAAGATGAGCAGCAAATGGAAAAACCAATATGATGAATAAGTTTCAGACAACTGCAAACTAATTAAACGACGTTCACTTGTACGCTCCCATCCCAACTCCGGCTTCACCTCCATATGGTCTAGAGCTTCCATTCGCCTTAGAAAAACTAACATAATAGAACTCAGAGATTATGCAAGTGAAAAACACAAAAGCTGCTCCTGCTGCAAAAACGCCCTTTCTAACAGTCTCACAAGAGGGAGGGTCCTCAAAAAACCTTGACCTGTACTTGGTGTGGTAAGCATTCCTCACTGAACCCGCCAGCAAGCAAACCTCCGCAATGAAGAATGTGACCCTGAATGACAATTACCGACAGAATTTTATCGTGTGTTAGAGAGAAGACTTTGTGGGTTGACAATAAATGTGACATCACCCATGTAAAGAATGATATCTTAAACGTTTTGCATTTTTACCAAATGGAAGGATATATACCAGCAGATTATGAAAAGAATAACTGCACAAGCCCTTGAACCTCCGGGGTTTAGAGCCTTTCCACAGCAGAAACATCTACTTGCAACCATTATAAGCACTTGACTAGCCATGAGGAACAAAAATGCACCAACACCAAATCCAGTTGCAATATCAGAATCATAAACACAATACCGGAAATTATTTTCTCCATCTGTCCTTGTTGTAGCCTATCAACAATCATATAGTTCAATATTAGGAAGAGTCAAAATTAGTACTAATAATATCAGAATTAGAGACAAAGTTCCAAATAACGATCAAGCAGTGAACTGCTTTAAAAGAAAAAAGATTTCCTGTTGCATTGTGAATTCTATAGAATCTTTGCATCAAGCAATGGAAATAAACTTGCAGATGCATGCAACCACCCACTCACACACTTGCTCACACTGGAAAAAGGATCTTTTTAACATTGTATCCACAATCCAGTATTCAATTTTATGGGGCTTCTGACTGGGTGTATTGTTAAGGTTTTCACATAAATTTTCTCGATTGAAAAAAATTATGAGATGTGACTTGGGTTCGACTGCCATTTGTTTGACATACTTTTTCATTTTCTTGTTTGGATGCATGTCTATTGTCAAAAAAGATGGAACATTGTATCTGTTCATGGTTTCTGCTATGCTTCCTTTACTCTGTGCTTGGTGCTGGATCGTGTCGGTACAGCGTTATACTTAAAAATCAAAATCCATGTAAGCCAAGAAATTAGAATCCATATATCTTTCTTTACCATGCCTTCCACATGGAAAACATCCTAGGCCACTGAATGAAGTTGAAAGTCACAGCAAGCAAATTATTCCATAAAAACTGAAACTTATCTTGAGTAAAAATTCATGCAACATGTACTAGTTATTACAGAGCCAACCAAAAATCAATCCAGATAAGAGAATTACGATTAGCATCAGATCATCAGAGGTCAATCTTCGTTCACTCAACAGTTGAGGTTCACTGTTTATTTTTTGTGCAACTGGAGGAAATATCTCAATTTCGATACTCTTAAGCAACTTCGAGAGGAAATTATAAAATCCTACTCATGTCGAATAAATTCAGTTTAGTAATGGAAACAAAGCTTTTCAAGAATCCTAGCCATTTGAGCAACAAATCTAATAGCTTCTGTGCAATTAATTTCTCAGTAACTAATCATTTCTCGAATCTACACATATTTATCTACAATCCCACGTAGTCAGAAGAAATATAAATCAATTAAGAGAATACTCACAGTGCTTCGTCTCTGCTCAGCGGCAACAGCTAAACCAAAAGCAATAAGATCAAAAATGAAGACAATGACAATTAAAAGTTTGGAAGCCATTGAAGTGAGACTTGAGTTTGATACCCACTTCCCAGATCTAGATCTCTCTCTCTCCTTCACTTCTCTTCCGATCTCTCTCTACATATATATGGTTACTTGAGTAATCAAGAAGGAAGACTTGCTACCACCGAAAGAAATTGAGAGAGAGTTTTGCCACGGAATATGATTTATGACAGCTTAACAGTTGTTCACCGACAATTCCGGGCCCAGAAACTCACCACCCTGGGGTCCACGATGTACAAATAGCAAACCCCAATAGAAACAAGAATCCAACAGGAAAATTTTTTTTGCTCGGGGGGGGGGGTCTGCAAACCGGCTCTTCTCGGCGCGGCCTACCTCGTCCTACAAAGTTAAGGATCGAACCGAGGTCATATTTTTTTCAAGAGACTAGTGAAATTATGAGCTCATAAACTGGCTCGTCTTTTAATTTATTATATTAATTTCTTTAAAAATGGCTGACTTGTGGGTTCCGTAGATAGATCGAGCCTAATTTGTGGATACGAGCCCAACTCGAATATTTAAGAGGTAGGTCGAGTGGGATCGATGAATTTCCACAGTAGGAAAAATAAGGCGAATAGTCCAATATTTACTTGAAAAATAAAGTGAAATGATTACTCCTCAGTTAAAATGGAATCTTTGCAGCCGATAGTTAAATAAGAAGAGATTTGCAACAAGCTTTAGATTGATTGACTCCATAATCTAAATAGAATAATGTTGATCGATATCGATAAAGTTATCGAGATTGTTTTGTTTCGAAAGATTACTACGCTATAAAAAACTAATCACATTGGTTATGAGCTATGACTATGTTTGGAGAGTTTGGTTAATCACCTCGTATAATTAGGTCAAGCATTCTTTGTCATCTATGGACACAAATATAGATATAGAGTGTGTTTGATGCATATTTTTTAGGACATAATACTTTTTTTTTGTGATGTGATGGTGAATATGTGATTGAAAAAGAAGGAAGAGTTATTGATGTGATGTAAAATATTATTTTATTGAAAAATATGTGGTTGAAAATGAGTAGAAGAATGAAAATGAAAATGAGAATGTAACTCAAACATGGGCATAAAATTGATTAAGAACAATTTTTTACATTTTGTATGTCAAACGATCGCAAAGTGTCCCACGAACCCGTTTGTAGACCAAGCTTGTGAAATTTTTTTAAGCTCGGCTCGACCAATGGCTGGTCTCAATACGAGTCCAAACGATCCATGTGCCGAGTAGAGTCGAGCACACTAGTGGCTTGTTCCATTTACGACCCCTACATAGACTTGGTGTATCAAACACATTTCGATATTGCAATACAAACCAATATTCAATTTCACTACTCACCAACATTTGAGATCATCATGTT